TTTCAACCTCCTGGTTTTCCCGGTTTCCGAGTTAGCGGTTTTCCCGCAAAAATTTTCGTGGGGCTATACATGAGAACCGTGCACGCCTGGGGGCTGAATTTGATAATTTTAAGTTGTACGTGAGCTGGGAACATCCCCTTAAAATCTCAGCTTTTTAGCTTTTCTAATTCCCGAATTAGCGAATTTCCCGCTAAAACTTTCACGCGCTTGTACGCGGGGCCCAAACGTGCGTGAAGGCTGGTACAGCGGTCCTGTGGCGGCACTTGGCCTGGAACCCACTGGCAAAATTTTGGTGCCAGAGCTTGTTTGGTTGCCGAGTTGAATACCCGGACAGACGAGCACACACACACACACACACACACACACACACACACACACACACACACACACACACACACACACACAGGCAGCCTCTTCCCAATATGCGTTTTTGCAATTTACATATATGCAAAAACGCATAATGAAAAAATAAGAGCTTGTTATAATGCGAGAATGTTGAGATTACACACGCACATACACATATGCACACATACACATACACAAACTTAAATGCATACCGGGGTTGTCACAACATGCTTTTCTGCATATGCATATATGCAAAAATGCATAAAAATGTGACTTCTACAATGAACAGGTTGTTAGGGGAGAGAGAAGGACGACGAAATCTATAAAATGCACTCTTTCTTGAGACTGCGATAAAATTGAGTATTTGTTGTGATCGAGTGCAGGGAATTTAGTCTCCAGACTCGATTTGAACCACACATGCATGTAGAATATCTGTAAAATTTTTTCACAACCTGTCTGATACCTGAAATCGTCACTATGATACAAATATTTTTATCTTACTTGAAAATTTGATGCAGATGCAGCTTGGATCTCCATTTAGATAAATAATTTCCCAGACGCGCGATAAATATTTCGGCAAAATTATAACTATTGCTTTTAGCTGGTTCTCAAGTGAGCCTAGTCCCAAATGAGAACTTTGACGCGATCATGCATGTAATGCAAACATGTGCAGTGGCTGAATTCGAAATCTTCAGCTCACATATGGACGAAGAATACCTCTTCCTACGTTTACCGGTCCTCGAAATTGCTCCTTGGCAAAAAATTTAGATTTTTTTGGACATCCGCACGTGAGACGCCGGCGCGCTCGAATGTTGATTTTAAAATGGGATGGTGGCACATTAAGTGGGGATGTGCTTCTACAGCTCCAGCTTCCCAACTTTCCTGGCTGCTGAGTTGAAAGTCGGCGAAAAAGTACACACACACATACACACGCAGAACCTCTCGGAAATATCGTTTTTGTATTTGAATAATATATAAAAACTCATTAAAAAATTAAAGAAATTTTCATCCGATGTGCTTTTTCTCTCAGTTTACAAGCTGCTCAGGTAGGTTTTTATTAATCGACCAAAAAGACTTCTCGTGAACAGCAGCTGAAGGTGTAAGCTGAATTCCGTATTTACAGAACGGTTGATCACATTTTCGTTGTGAATTGCTAGAACACACAAGGGAGAAACAAATTTCTTTTTGTTTCGTATTCACTGACTGCGAAAAAGCATTCGAAATCACACAGCTGATTGCTGTGCTACAACATTAGTGAATAAAGAGTGATGGAGGCTACGTGGAAAGTATTCAACAGACACAGCACTTCTCATTTCGTGACGAATTCAAATCGAAACGAGTGTAGGACACAATTGCCCAGTATCGGCTAAGCTTTCCAGTGCCTGCTAGGCTGAACTGAAAAAATTTTTCGAAGATCTATGACCAGGATCTAAGCCATCTACGTTTCATGGATTTAATTTTCATCGCAAACAGTGTTTGTGGTATAGATTACGCTCCAGAAGCTAAGTACACGGATTGTATCTTGGTTTTTCAATCTTTTGTGTGGACATTATCGCTAATCGCAAAAACCACAATCATGCTTCTGCCTAAAGACTTGAAAGAACTATGAAAATGAACCTGAATTGAAATGTGAAACTGTAGAATAAATTTTTTTGTAGAATTGCATTCGAGTCACCACGTTGGCTAATAGAGAAAGGTCACATCGATCGGGCGCATGATGTTCTAAGAAGGATTGCAAAATTTAATGGACAGAGTGATATTACGAATGATATGATCGACGAGGTTATCGACATGGAAAAGCAAGTGCGATTAGTTTTTTGCTGGAGTTCGATTGCTGAATTTTTCGACCAAGAACTTTCAAAAATTTTACAGCGCTTTCATTTTGTTGCTAAGAAGTAATCAAACTTGGAACCATTAGAAGAGAATGCTGCGCCTTTTGACAATTACAAGCGACTACCCAAGCCGCGTTCTGATCTACGCCTTTGCCATGTTTTGGACTACTTTCTTTTCCCAGCCATCTTTGTTACGTGCGCGAGCTGTCTCTTCAAAGGTTGCCAGAAATTTGTATTTCATTTCGCGAGTGTCGTTCATTGAAATACAGCATTACTGATTCTCAGCAAAGCAAGCAACGCATCATAGCCAGCTAATTTTCCTCTTTTTCTGTTCTTGACACTCTCATGATCCGCACTCGTTTTGGCAGAAAAATTGACTTTCTAGTGGTAATGAAAGCATGTTCATATCATCCCCCAACTTTATGCTTTTCCAATACAACCGGTGTTTTTTCACTGATCTTTTTTAACAACCATCTTCCACAAATAATTTTTCTTCAAAACGGCATTGTTTTTAATAGAATTAGAATATATTCATTTTTTAAGACTAAAACATTTAGAAACTGCGTAAAGATAATCGAAAAAATTATTATGTTTATCACTTATTCCACACACGCGAACTTGCTACGTATACCCTGGTTTTATCCTACAGCTTGTAAGTTTTTTTACTGTCTATTCGACCTAATAAAAAAAGTCGTTTGCCAAGCTTCCAACAAACAGAAGAGACTACAGATGCATCGTCACTCTATCAAAACAAAATGTTTTGACTGCAGTGGCGGCTGCAACACGCTTTCTATAAAGCGCTTTCTGTTTCCGACAGTTCTAGAATTGGTATTTTCGGTCCAGCCTTTTTTCTTGTTTAAGTCGTTTGGCGTCTCACAACATACTTTTGTGCGTTCTTGCTGTGTTTTCATTCAGTCAGAAAACTTCTGCATTTTGGATAGATTCTGCTTGTCTCCATTCAGTTTTTCGCCACCGTCCGAAATTTTTGTGCTATGTATCTGTAATGGTTTAGAATTTGAAAACTCATTGCTGGCACAGTAATTCACTCAATTCGCGATTTTTTATGGGTTATTGCATACATGCAGATGCAAACCCAGGCTGGAACGCACCAGGCGAGCCGGTGCGATCATGCGTTTTTGCATCAAACTTT